AATTGTAAATGTCAAAGCCGTTACAATAATGTTAATTCTACTACTGGTAATACTAATACCACTAATAATAGTAGTAATACATACACACATACATAAATACATAAAGAGCAAATATAGCCTGTGATTCTTAATATAAGCCTTCACTTATTTGAACTTAGCTGAAACATGATCATATTGTTTTTTACTTCAAACAAAGGGTTTTTTTTTAGATAGGTAAGGCTCAGATCTGCAAGAACTGCCGGTCACATCTTCCAAAATTGACAGTGGTAGCAGGTGCCAGTAGGACAGATCTCCTTTGAGTGGTTTAAACCAACTGGACTTGGGGAAGTTAGCTAAATAATCTTTATTCACTGGGAGCATTGATCTCATGAATGTTGCTGCCTCAGGTCCCCTCATGTCCAATGAAGGCAGTATGGTCAGGCTTGATAAAGCACTAAACCTTGGTTTTTTTCCTATCTTTATTACTCACCTAAATGACGTTGAGAATGCCACTTCCCATTCCTGCCTCAATTTCCCTATATATACTATGGGGGAAAAATAACCTCCCCTCGTAATGTTCTTTGAGATCTATGACTGAAAGGTCATTTATAAGGAGCTAGATATTACAACTGGAAGTCAGGCCCCAAATACTTCAATACTGTGTCTTGATCACTACTCTGTTTGAAAAATATGTAATTTTCTCATCCCCCTGAAGAGATAAGAATTCAAGCTGTTTGTTAGATAACAGGTTGTAAGCATACTTGTCCTTTGTTTGTGTGTCATGTAGCATGGTCTTACTTTTTAATTCAGTTGTACTTTTAAGATAAAAGGTTTATACGGTACTTTTTCCTTCAAGTAGAGAAGCAGTTTAGTCTTCCAGATAATACATTAAGTATGTTTTATCTAAAGTCACTTAAGGAACTTGGGTGTCTGAATTCCACTGTTTTTCAATAGGGCTTAGAGACTTCAGAAAATATTATCCTGAATTTTTGTACAATTCCACATTTTAATGGTGTTAATTTTTATTTAATGATATAATAGGGCTCCGTGAAATTTTGACGAGTGTTTTGTTTCAAAGCTGTTTCTATGTGTTTTAAGCTCGAAACAGTGAAATCAAAATGAAACAAAAGGCTTCGAAACAGCTTCAAAACAAAACGAGAGCACTCGAAACATTTTAAAAGTTTCAAAATGTTTCAAGTTTTGAAGCCAGGCTTGCTGCATCTAAACAGAAACTAAGAAGAGGGAGGGGAAAGAGGGGGGAAGGACTGCTCTCTGATGTTGACATCTAGCTCTCTGATCGCTTCCACCAGCTCTCTGTTCATTTCCCCAGCTCTTCCCCGGGGGGGGGCATGCAGGCCCCCGATCAGCATGCAGGGTTTCAGCAGGCTGCTGCTAAAACTGTAGTGGCAGCCTGCTGAAACCCAGGGCACAGAAGCAATTAGAGAGCTGGGGAATTGAACTGGGAACTGGGGGAATGTTCAGGTCCCTGAATATTCCAGTTCCCAGTTGGATTCCCTAGCTCCCTGATCTTTCGCCCAGGTCTCTGATCACTTCCCCCAGCTCTTCCCAGGGGGGCACCAGCGCTAGCTGCAAAAGAAGGGCAGTGGCCTGGGGAGCTGTGCC